TAGATCAAACAATAAAAAATGCAAAAGTCATTCATCTTCAATTACACGAACATCACAAAATGTCACCACAAAACAAAGCCACTTGAAATCAGAGAGACATGCTGACCTTTTCCTCGATCCATGACTCGATTGAGGTCTTATTTCGAAGGATGACTTTCATCTGAAAAGGAAAAGACTATTTCATTATCAGAGTCAACTTATATTTTCCTTAATAACTTTTTGTGTCACTGATTTCATTGATTATCCAGCCCCCTAATCTTTGTTTCTCTAAAATTTTTTTAGTACAGCTGCCATTTCAGTCAGTTTGTTCATTTCGATTTTGGCTGACTCGTGTACAAATCAATGTTTTTTGTTTGTATTTTGTGACATGTTCTGTGGCTTGATTTTCAAGTAAATCAGAATTAATAGAGTTATGCTGTGCATTCGCATTTTTAAATCTGATACAACAAATCCAAATATGAGGTATGTGAATTTTGAAAGGCAGCAAGTCACATCATTGTCTAAATGCCATTATGATGATTGGTGACATTTTCACAACGTTTTAAAAAGAACTCACAGGTAGTCTGGCTTTTCAAGGCTAATGCCAAAAAGATCAAATAAAATATCACATTTCATAGCCAAGAGCTTGTGGAAATTGTGCACCCCAATGAAAAACCTCACCTGTATGAAGAAAAGCATGCCAACGGCAATAGTGGTGCCCAGTGCCAAGCCTAAGGCAAAGAGTGTGGCAGCAAAGGCGGGCACACTGAAGGGCATGAGGGGCTGGAATTGACGCACAGCACTCATGTCAATCTTCACAGTGCTCCAACCAAATGATATCTGCAGAGAGGGAAAAAGAAAACAGATTGAAATGTGTAGTAACATCAGTGTCAAATGATAAAATGAATGAGGCAGCGCTGTTTAGAGAAAAGCTGTGGCGATAATAAGCCATCAAAAGCATAGTGTAGCTGTGTAGCGAGGTAAGGACCCTCACCCTCTCATACAGCTGCGTGTACATGGTCATAATGAAGATGATGGCAGCGTGTGAGCAGCCCAGTGGAGCCAGCAGGAGGAAGCTGGTGAAGTAGGCGTGGTTCAGGTGGCCGCAGCAGTTGTTGATCCAAGGGCAGTGGTGGTCCATCTTCATCACGCACCTGGAGGAGGGGAGGCAGAGGAGGAGAGGAGTGCGGGGGGAATTGACTGGTTGTTTGGGAGGACATAGAGTGACAAGTTCATCAGCAAATCTCACCGTATCTTTTTTTCTTTAAAATCTATTTAATATCGCATAAGATAAGAAAACCTTTATTTGGCCCTGCAATGGGGAAATTGCAGTTTGCAACAGCATACAGAAAGGGCAGAATAAAAAATAACAAGAGCACAAAGAGTAGCTTATAAAAGATAAATAATGAAATAGAATAGCATTGCACAGACTGGTGTCAAACTGGTAAACTGGTGTTTTGAAGTTTTTACACCTTGTGGTGTAATACTATTGCACATATTAAGAGCGTTCGTTGTGGACAGCAGTAGGAAGGAAAGACCTTCTGTATCTTTCCTTCACACATCGAGGGTGAAGCAGTCTGTCACTGAAGCTGCTCCTCAGTTCTGTCAGGTCACCGGGCAGGGGGTGGGACTCATTGTCCAGCATGGATGACACTTTAGCCAGGACTCTCCTGGCACCCACCTGCCACACTGAGTCCAAAGGGCAGCCCAGGACAGAGCTGGACTTCCTGATGATCTTATCCAGCTTCTTCCTCTCCCTCTTTGTGATGCCACTGTTCCAGCAGACCACTCCGTACAGGATGGCTGATGCCACTACAGAGTTATAGAAGGTCTTCAGGAGTACCCCTTTCACTCCAAAAGACCTCAGTCGCCTCAGAAGGTAGAGCCTGCTCTGTCCTTTCCTGTAGAGTGCATCAGTGTGGTGAGTCCAGTCCAGTTTGGTGTTGAGGTGAACACCCAGGTACTTATAAGAGTCCACTTGCTCAATGTCCATTCCCTGGATGTTCACTGGTGAGGGAAGGGCAGAACGGCGTCTGCGAAAATCCACCACCATCTCCTTGGTTTTCCCCACGTTGATCAGGAGGTGGTTTCGCTGACACCAGTCCACAAAGTTCTCCGTCAGTCCACTGTACTCTGCGTCGTCATCGTCTCTGATGAGGCCAACAATCGCAGAGTCGTCGGAGAACTTCTGCAGTTCACAGCTGTCGGTGTTGTGTCTGAAGTCTGCTGTGTAGAGGGTGAAAAGAAAGGGGGCCAAGATAGTCCTCTGGGGGGCACCCGTGCTGCTGGTGAGCAGGTCAGACACACAGGTCCTGTTTCTCACAAACTGTGGTCGGTCTGTGAGGTAGTCCAGGTTCCATGTAGACAGCTGGTGGTCCACACCCATCCTCTCCAGTTTGTCCCTAAGAATCACCAGCTGGATGGTGTTGAACGCACTGGAGAAATCAAAAAGGTGATTCTCACAGTGCTGCCGGGCTTTTCCAGGTGAGAGAGAGCTCGGTGTTGCAGGAAGATAACAGCGTCCTCCACTCCAACATTAGGACTGTAGGCAAACTGTAGTGGGTCCATGGAGGGGCCCACCTCAGAGCAGAGATGTCCCAGTATCAGTCAAATAGATTATGTGATGCTGTACAGTCTCTCTGTAGCATTTTATAGCTACACAGAGACTTACAGCACTGTGTGGGTGGAAATGACAGGAACAAACCACGTATACACACGAGCCAGATCTAGTTTGGTGTGCTGAAAATAGCTCAGTGATTTTCTAGCTCGAGTAGCTCTCTGTGGTCTTTTATTTCACAAATCCATCTCACACAAGTGAGAATAAACCCATTCTTACTTTGATAATAAATGTTTACCTACCTGTTACACTTGCGACAATGGTGGGATCTGGGGGCCTTGTACCCTTGGCATACTCTGCAGTACTGTAGGTACTGGGTATCCTGTTGATTCTCCTGTTTACAGACAAATAAGTCAAACATCTGCTGTAAGATCTTTTTCCTATGATTAAATGTTTTCAATCTACATTACATCTTTATGGAGACATGGCTGCTTCTTGTTCTTTAAACTGTTTACATAAACAAACGGCAGTGAGAAATGTCATAATCCTTTATCCTAACTTAAGATCCTTACTGGTTTCCAGCCAATAGGGATGTATCCAGGTCCAACAAACATAGCGTTGAAGTAGTTGTAGAGGATGAGAACAGTCCAGTTGATGAGCATGATGAAGTTAATGCTGCCTCCTGTAGTGTCTAGTGGCCAGTACCAGATAATGGAGTCCAGAACTGCCATGGTGGAGCATATAGCAATGACAGACAGAGCTATAACTGGACCCCAGTGGCATAATCTCCGAACCTCATGGAGGTTCTCAAATGTCACAAAGGTTGACAGAAAGTTCATCTTTTCGCCACAAGGTAAGTACTAGTATTCTGGCTGCTGAGTTCCTAAAATGTATTTGTCAAGCTCCAATGTGTTACTTTTTTCCTCTGCTATCTTGCAAAGTCAGCGGTGCAGACGATGCACATATTTTCTCTCGTCTTCTGAGTACCCAGCAACTGGCCTGGTCTTGGGTCACTGGGGCTCTCTGTGTCCCATTGTTCCTCACACAGGCAAAGAGCAGCATCCTCTCCTGCCAATCTTCAGAGCACACTATCCTTGTGACAGACTCAAATTCCCCATCTAAGAGACAGAGAGAGAGAAAGAGAGAGAGAGAGAGATGGTAAAACATCAGAGCCAGTACTTCTACATTTCATAACATTTGTATTTAACTGTGAAGTACTGACAATCAAATGATGCCTACCGTCATTTTTTAAGTAGTTACTGCTAGTTTACCTAAACATCAACACATCCAAAGGTTTGAATGATAAACCTTGCTGAACTTGAGCCTTCCCTGTGTGCACAATATATACACCAATTACATCTAGTGTCCATTTCTTTTGGTAGTCTATATGCACTTAGTTTTCAGTCTATTAAGCCCACCTACCTATAACGAATACAATGCAAGATAACAGCCCTGTAATAACTCACACCTTCATGAATGAAATAATGTTATTATATTGGAAGCTGTGGTTTATGATGCTCTTAAATTATAATACGAAGTTCCCAATATTAAGTCTAACCTCACTCACATTAATGAGGTGAACATAATACCAGATGCATGCTATCTCTCCACTGTAATGTTTATATTTATTTAATTTCCCAGCCCTTTCACACTTCAGTCACTGCCAAACTGCAATATTGTCGAAAAAAAAATAACCAACTTTAACACATAGATATGTAAACAAGCACACTAAACCTGGAGAAACACACCCAAAGTGAATGCTGCTTTATATTTAGACCAGTGACTCACTGGATGTGAAGCATTTCGCTCAACAGCGACCGAAACTAATTAGCAGATGTTACCAAGCTGCATAGAAACGTTACATTCAAGCGTTGTACATCGTATTCAGCTCACACAAGTTAGACAATTCTGGTAAAAAAAAAAACAACAACAAACAAACAAAAACATTATCCTACATATAGGATTATGTCTTTTAGCACAAGGGCTAACGTTACAGCCGTTAGCTATTGAGCTAAGTTAGCTCGCTCGGCAGCTTGAGAAGACAAACATATCGGAGCTGGGTTAATGCACACAGAGAGCAAAGAGGATAATATTAAGTCTTAAAGATATAACGAATGCTTACCGGTACACGTATAGGCACAGTTTTCATGAATGGAGGAAAAAACTGTCACTTTAAATTACCGACCTGGCTACTTCCTTGGTTTTTTTTTTTTTTTCTCTTCGATTTCTTCTGTGTATAAGGGAGGAACCTTTCTCATGGTGTCTCAGAAACTATTACCCTCACCCCGCCGTGGACACTTTTTTTTTATATATTTTTTTAAGCAAGCATCACAGGACTACAAATATAATTTATTTATTCACGTATGATAAAAAAATAAACTTTCTATCCACTAGCGGAACCATTTTCAGCGTCGGAATAATAATAATAATAATAATAATAAAAAAAAAGCAAATCCAGTTCCTTGTCGAACATATTATACTGCGACTCAAGGAAGGGACTCCATTCTAGCCTTGTTTTTATTATTCTCAGCTAACTGTCAACCAGAAAACCACCTGTTTTAAACTCAAACGCCGCGATGTCTTCAGACTTTGAAGCCTACGAGCAGGACTTTGGGACCCTTACAGCAGAAGTAACGAACAAAATTGGCAGAATTCCCAAACTAAGTGGAGGTAAGAGAGTTAAATCTGTTAGCTATGATCGCTGAGCTGGAGCTAGCTCTCAGTTAGCTGGCATTTCTCAGCCGAGAAGCCTAGGTAACGGTATCAGGAGTAAAATACAGCCCTTGTTGTGGTATTTAAACAGTTTTACACATTGTTTGTCGTTTTTTTTTCTTCTTATGTACAAGGATACATCACGTATCTGGTGTAATAGCTTTCATGAATTAAGCTAGACATCTTATATTTCCCAGTAGTTAAAGTGATGGACTTCTCTAGACTACTCGCTGTATTAAAGGCAGTGCTAAGAGGAGAACAGGACCCTTTGGGGACTTGTTCTACATTAGGTAGATAAATAGGATTTGAAATTATGGAAATGAATGAATAGGAAGGGAACTTACACCCAACACAGCTTCCCTCCATAGATATTTGATGATGAAAACAAAGTTTATTCTCATTAATGCACTTTACTGGGAGTTAAGGAGTCAGTGTGACAACACAGCAGCTGCCATGACATTATCAAACATGGGGTAGTAAGCTCTGTCATCTTACAGCAAGAGGTCAGGATTTGTCATGTGATTCAACACTCGCTTATCAAACATTTTTGTCAGCCAAATTACCTTTTAAAGGACCACCGTGAAGGATTTAGTGGCATCTAATGGTGAAGTTGTAGAGTGCAACTAACTGAACACCTCTGGCATCCCGATTTGACGACCTGGGAACACGTGAAAAGCGCTAGAAGCCCTATCTGGTCAAATACATGGTTTGAACATGGTCGACTCCATAGAGGGCGACCTGCTGCCTCGGGAGATAAAAAAGGCTTATTCTAAGGTAGCTAAAACACAACAGTTCCTATATTCAGGTGATTATACACTCAAAAAACAAGCCTATGAATATTGTATTTCATTTCTACCAAAAAGTTCCTCCTAAATGTTACACACTGGACCTTTTTAAGTGTTCAAATGGTGGTGCCCATTCAAGTCAAGTCAATATGTGTTGTTTCATACTCATACTTTTGTTGGATTTGCTTGAATTTCTTTTCTTGTATTCCACTTTATGTAGTGTAGTCACATGGCTTGGCTTCAGTATACTTTCCAACAGCTGAGGCTGGGTATCGGTACTCGATACCTTAAATAAGCCCAGTACCAAATGGAAACGTCTCTAGTTAAACAATACCTGCATTATATCCTTTTTGTACCCGGATCTAGAAAAAAAATAATATTTCTATGGTTTTGTTCGTAGTCAATCACTGCAAGCATTCTTTGATTTAATTCAACATGTGGTTGGCCCATTATTGCATCTGCAGCTAGCAGCTACATACAGTCTGTGGTGGTAAAAAGGGTTTCAAATTAAGTACCCTACTGGTATTGGTTTCACTTTGAGGGTACTGTATCCTAACACACATCCCTAGCAGCAGCTCAGAAATGTTCACACTGTAAAGGATTTTTCTTTGCCATGTACAGTCAAAAATATTTAACGTTGTATATTATTAGCTCTATTGGATCGATACATGTTCATTACCTGAGCATTTTGCAACCAATATCTTGTGTATTATTTTACAGTGACAACTTTCTGTTAAGTCCATAGTACACAGTGGATTAAGACAATAAATAAGGGAGACAATCGAGGGATGACATGCAGAGATGATTGATCTGATTTAAACTTGCAACCTGATGACGGGTATTGAATCCCAGTCAGAATTCCTTTATTGGTCAACTAATGTATTGGTGCACCTTTTGACCGAAGCCCACACTAAAGCTCAGTGTGTTAATAATAAATAGGCACAATGGTGTACACATTTCTATAATCCATTAGCGGCTTTATTAATAGTTGGCAACAGGCACAGAGCCTTTTGTATAAAGAGTAAAGATGATTGGATAGATCATATGTCTCATACTTATGTGCAGTACTCCCAGGTAGGAGCCCACAGTGGAATAAGGTTTTATCTTTTACATAATAAGCTAAATTTCTGTTCCATCCAGCTATATTTTTTTATATTTATACATCAGAAATGTTGTGTTACAGACAAGCATTTTGTTGTAGTGAGGTTATTGCATACTATTGACTGTGAATAATATCTTATTTCAAATTAAAGTGTGTGTGATGGTGCACCTGTTTTACCCAGCCTGTTATCTTTTCTAAATGTAGTGCCTTTTTTTGGATTTGGTTGTAATGTTCATTCAGGATGTCATAGCATATATAAACACAACCTCTTTTCCCTGCTACATCTATAGAGCTGAAGTAGAGCTTAAAAAAAAACAAACATCATGACTGAGCCATGATTGTGCCAGTATCACACTGTAGCCTTTTTGTTCCTGTGGGTGTGAAGACCTGTACTTATTTACATAGACCAAACACTGTTTTTGCCAAGGACATACTACGTTATAAATTAGAGCTGCTATATCTCAGTGAATACAAACCAAAGTTGGAAGTGGAGAGAGAAAGAGAGAGTCGTTCTGCACAGCATATCTTAATTTAACAGACAGTTTTTTAATTCCACTCGTATTTTGCAGTGTGAAATGCACTGCATGTTTTTGAATTAGCAGTAAGTGCACAAAGCCAAAAATATGTAATGAACCACTGTAAGTGCGGTGGTGCTGGTTGAATTGTGTTGTCCGCAACTTGTTGACTACTGCTATTAGTTTGTTTTCAGTTTTGAATGCTAAAAATTGCTTCCAACCCGTACTTGGAACATGTATCTCTTTCTCTGGACTTGCTCATTGGTTTTTCAAAGGACACTGCCTCTCACAAAAACTCGCCTGACTGAATATTTCTGGTTTGGAATTGGCATCTTTGAAGATTCATGGCAGCCCATTCGACAGTGTAATTCCACATTGCTTCCTCTCGCCATCTGTTGACTGTGTCAGAGTAAGCCCATATGAATATGTACAAAGCCAGGAAACACATTACAACCATAAGCAGTTGTTCAATGTCTTCTGCCACCAACAGAATAGTTTACAGTTGAATTTCAATTCCCATCCTTCTCATTAAGGTTTTTCTTCTTTCCTTTCTTAAGTCCCTCTGGCTCTTCTTCCTGAAGTGGCTGAATTTTTCCCCTCGGTTTGACAGCCCTCTATTTAATACATTAATATAGCTCCAGACAAAGGGCTTTTGTCATTGCTGTTGTTGTATCTCTCTATTTCACATGTGCACAATTACTGATAATGGCCAGGGCATGTGGAAAAACTGTCCTTGACTGTCTTCATTCATGTAACAATCAAATGAACGTGTGTTTATATATTTATGTTACCATCCCCCAAAACCTAATGTTCAAGCAATATTTGAATAAGAATACAATGAAATGTTAGGCCTTGTTCCATGAAACATGATTGCCATTTTTCCACCTTTGAGTGTTTATGGCAAAAGGTTGCCTGTCAATCACCGCAACACAAATATATAAAAAAAATGTAAGTAAAAATGTTTTTGCCAAGGCGCACTTTTTCTTTATTTGCCTTACTATTGTGTACAAAACTCCTCATCCATCTGTCAGCAGGTTGTAGTCTTGGTAAATATCCATACATATTTCACAGCACTCCAGCTCGGGCCTGAGTTTGAGCAAGAAAGCACCATCTCACCTTTCAGTGAATCGCCTCTGGCTGTTTACTGTGTAGGCTGTGGGGTTGGACACAGGTTTTAAAAATGAATTTGAGGACTGCAAAAGGTAATGTTTGCCCATGGTGCCTGAGATATAAAGATCTTGGCTTAGTTAGGTTTTTTAGAATATTGCAATCCCACAACTGATAACCTTGTGATTTGAAGTTTTGTTGACTTTGCATTTCAATTATTTAAAATGCTGTTAATTATTTATCAGGTTAAAGGTACAACTCTTGGTTCTTGATTTATTTGTTTTAAACATATTTTTCAATTAAATGGTTACTTTTAAGAGCATATCTGAAATGGTGTTAATTTAAAAGTAAAATATTTGAATTGATTTAAATACTCTGTCTTGAATCACTTTTTTTTTTTGCTTTACATATAGTGTAATACTGACAGGTTGATTTCACAGAGTGCTCTCACAAAGATGCCAAAGCTGATTTAGTAAGACTGGCTATTTCTATAGTTCCTTTTCTGCTGAAAATAGTTTTCTGAATCTGCTGAAATGTCTCTGTTTTGTTTTAGCATACAGTCACTTTTTGGTATATATTATCTTCTAAGATGTGTAGTTTTAGGTGTGCTTAAAACAATGTTTTATTTGGTTTCCCTTCAAGGACTAAATTAAGGCCTCCATCTATGTGCTGATTTTTGTTTTTCATATAATGTAAAAAGTTGTGATGATTTGGCCTGAAAGTTGTGACGCTTTGTTCATGATTAATACCCATACACTCCTGAATAAAATGTATGCACAAATAAATTCTACATTTTTGGGAGTCTTGACAGGAGGACTTCATAGACAGAGAAGCCCAATTGGCCTCTTTTACAAAAGACATGTCACAGTAGTGAATAGAAAATAACACCTGAATGTGTGACAGGTTCGACGGAGGAAGGCACATCTTGAGAAACTCCCAGCACACTGTTTCACTTACTGCTGAAAAGAAGTAGAAAGAATATTTTATTATTTATGACGTTTCGGTCCGTGTGACCTTCATCAGCTATATGGGCAGCATGACAACACTTTCATACATATATACACATACAGGAGCTGCCTCAGTCATTTATTTGTCCAGTCAGAGGACTACAATGATGAATTTGACAGGTGATCATCTTGAACCACTCACAGCACATATGTCACCAGTTAGACAGTAGCACTGAAAGAACACCAAAAACAGAAAGGTTGCTCAATACAAAAATGCCTATAAATCTTACACAACATCCAAAAACTACAAAATATCAAGTCAGTTTAAGAGAAAACATACTGAAACATCACAAATCCTACAGTGTTACATTAAATCTATTCGTTAAATGTTTTTAATTTAAACGTATCTACCCCCAAATGAAACAGAAGTCACAGGTCAAGGATGTACAATCTCATAAATAAACAAATATCATAATTACCAATTCATCAGTGAATTTCTACAGTAACATCAATATAATTAAAATGGGCACATTCTAAAGGCTACGAATAACGTAGTGCAGTGGACCAGTATATTTAACCAGTGCATATATTCAACAATCAAGTGATTATAAAAAAGTACATTTCTTAAGAAAGTTAAAACAAAGAAGAGTGTGGACAGGGACTATCCATTAGTGGCCCATTTTAATGAGGTGAAACATGGCGTGCTCTCCCACGACTTTTGTTGGATTGAATGAGTTTCAGTGCCACCCAGGGGCGGAGATCATGGCTTGTTATTAAAAAGAAGGGAGGCATTCTGGATATTGCCTTTACAGACCCCGTCTCCAATGGGACTGAATGATAAACTTAACTAATAACCAATCTTATAACTTGTTTGAATATTTCTCTGAAAGGTCAGTTACGCGGAGGGCTCTATCTGTTAGATGAATACATATTCCAGTTAGTGTATTCTAATAAAAGTATTAAGCTTTTATTAATATGTCTATATTCACTTTTTACAGGTATTTCATTGATTAAATCTATTGGCCCTCTACACTACTTTATTCTTAGCCTTTAGAATATGACAATTTCCATTATATGGATGTTAGTGTAGAAATTCACTGATGAATTGTTTAATTATGAGATTGTACATCCTTGACCTGTGACTATTTAATTGCCATTCGGGTAAATAAGTTTCATGCATGAAAAAATGTTTTCTGTTAGACAAACCTTTGTCCCTGTTTGGTATATAGAACGGATTTAATGTATTATAACGCTGTTGGATTTGTGATGTTTCAGTATGTTTCTGCACTTAAACTGAGGGTCACACAAGGTCACACGTCACAGTAGGCAAAGTACATGTGTAAATATAGTAATATATATATATATATAGTAAGTAATAGTGCCTCAATTCCCCTTCCTGCTTTGGTTTGAGAGTCCTGGTATTGTGCATGGATGTTGGTTCACTGTCACACCTTGCATGTACCAAATACATACTACATACTAAGTTTAAACAGTTTTTAACTATACTTAGACCACACAGTATACATACTAAATACAGTTGATTTTCTGTTTAAGATTTTTTTGAGTGTGCTGTCGATGAACACTATTCTCCCACAATGGAACGAACATAAGAACTGGAGGAGCTTCTCCCAGCTGGAACTTGTGAAAAGTATTAAATCTTAAGAGAGACACTTTGCTTTGTCTGCGTGATGTTTAATTAGCAGTGACATTCCCGAGTCACAGTTTGATTGACGTTGGTTGTAACACATAGAATTGTTTCCTGTTAGAATAAAATGGTAGAGTATGTCGATTTTTCTTTTTTCTTTTTGTATACTAACTGCTTAATTAGTTTACTAAGCTGATTAGCGTGTAGTATATACTGTATAGAATTATTATATAGTGTGAATTTGGGACACATGGAGACTGTCACGGCTTACTGGAACACTTGAATGGAACAGAGCCATAGCTCGTGTTTTTGGTAACACCTGTGCTTTTTGTGATGTAAAAAGGTCTATTTATTATTGCATATTGCAGTCGTTGGGTGGATTTTGGATATTAACAACTAAACAATAGTTCAAATGTTGAGTATTTCTACTGTAACCTCTGTATTAGGGCTGCCACTGCTGTGATTTTAATTTTTTTGGGATATATGGTAATTTGTATGATTAATTGATTAATCATCTCCAGCAATCAAAAGCCTTCACAAGTATATGATTTAGAGAAAAGCAAGCTAATGCAAACATTTAACCAGTCAATTTTCTTGAATTTGTCATGATGTATGGCTTTAAGAGTGACTTTGTTATTAATCTGTGACTACATAAAGGTTATTAAGGTATTCAAACCAATTTTATCAGGTATTTTGAAGTTTTGTTCAATCTTCTAAGTGCTCCAAACTTCTGCTTCTGGACCAGGTGCACTTTCATGGCAAAGAGTTAATTTTAGAACAAAGACCAGTTCTTATATGTACAGAAATTAAAGTGACACTGTTGCTGCCTTTAAATAGCGATAGGATGTACCGCGGTTTACAGGCTTCTTTGGAACTCTCGCAAGTCGTAATGAGTTTCAATGGGTAATGTGGAAGAGCAGCCACGGGGTGAGGTGCAGAACGGTGCGTTAGTCATTCTGAGTGGGACTCATACTTCTGGCAAGTGAGCAAAGCTGACACCTCCCTTCCCTTTGAGTTGGCACGAGGTGTCTCACTGCTCCTCAACAGAAACCAACAAAGGCCTCATAGACGCCAATAACTAAGAGACATCAAATGTTGGCTCGTCGTGTAGAGAGAATGTGTAAATATATCTTCAAATGTGTCCTCGTGTGTTGTTTTCTCCCAGTCTCTTTCTTTCTCTCTCCCCCTCTCTTCCCCCGTTGCGGGGGAGTTAGGTTGTTGTCATGAAGCGCTGTTCCTCTGTCGGCTGATCAATATGTTGCTGTTTTTTTCTTTCAGAGGAGAAGACACAGCTGGTTCTAAATGTCGACAAACAGCTTGAAGAAGTCAGAGAGTTGGTATGTCTTTGATCAGTAATTTTCTCCTCTTCCCATTTCCTAAATAATGAATTTGTGCAAAGAGGGAGGGGACAATTTTCACTGGCACCAGACAACAGCACCTGTATTATCCTGGTGGTGACATGACATGCAGAGACACACACATGGCGGAAAGGAGGCTTCCTCCTCACACGATTACTTTCCAGTAATCTGCTTTTAAGTGACACCCCTATGACACATTTCAAGCCATTATCTTGAGGTGGGAGTCTTCATGTTTGCTGTTTAAAAATGAGCAAAGTCACCTGACAGAGACAAATTGTTGTTGCAGTTGTCTTGTTATGTCACAGTGATTAGTTTCCTCCAAATCCGCCACACAGAGACCTGTCTAGCCATGCATCAAATGTACTTTTACTTCATTCACTGTGACATTGTTGGGCCTGTGCATGTCGCTGCAATGAAGGGACCCTCATATTTGATTGTGTATTTATTTGCAGAACAGCCTTCCTCTGTCACAGCTTTTATCACAGCTGAGTGAAGTGAGCGGAAGGCGTTTTCTTTTTACAATCAACATTGGAACATATTAAAGTTAATGCAGCTGAAGTTACTCATTTCAGAAAGTTTAATATTTTCAGAGCTGTCACAATTGCTGTCTTGAGCAGCAGAGATAATAACCTTTTTTGAGACTTAGCAATACATCTTTTACAGAAATGTGTAGATGGTAAGAGAAATATGATCATTAGAGGATAGGAAGGCCTAGATTTTTTTTTTTTTTAGCATCTGTTCAAGAGTGCTGTAGAAGTGATGAAGTACCTTAACATTGTGATGTAAATTTGTATCTGAATAATCTCTAAATCTGTCAGTTTTGTAATGTTTTTTTTATTCAAAATAATTGTTATTGATGTGAAATTGATCTTAAAGTATTAGCTAGCAAGAATATTTGAAATGTTTATTATATTAACTGGATTGTGGGTTTTAGCTGGAGCAGATGGATCTGGAGGTGCGGGAGATCCCCATCCAGAGCCGAGCCATGTACAACAGCAGACTGAAGAGCTACAAGCAGGAGGTGGAGAAGCTTGAGAAAGACTTTGTAAGTACCTTAACTCCTTTTTAAATCTTTGTTAATGATTAATTAGATATTAAAAATATAATGTACATAATCAACATTTAGCAAATCCTCTTGTGTGACTTTCAAAATCTGTATAGCAATATATGGTTAATATGACATACTGTAGTTGTAAGTTGTCCCCCTCTGAAATCCTTTGTGGTTTATATGCACATCCATTGTTTGCCCCCTCAACCAAACTCTCTCTCCCTAACATAGACTATCACACACACACACACACACACGCACACACGCACACACACACACACACACACACACACACACACACACACACACACACACACACACACAGAGTCCAATGCTGAGGCTCAGTGGTGCATCCACCGAGGTTAATTCAGAGTTTGTATTTGAACTTGCGAAGTGATGCCTATTGAGAGCAGGTTGTGTGTGTTTGTGTTGTTGCTGCAGAATCTGGCCTTGTTTAGTAATTCATAAATCACTGTATGTCTTGACTTGATCTCTAGCCTCTATCAAAGCTTAATGAACAACCCGGTCTTATGGGTCCCTTGCTTTTAGTCCATATTGTTGGCTACCAATATCGCTCAAGGTATTTCACTTAATCAATAATATGATAGAAATTAGCAATTACTTTATGTAATTCCATTGCTTGCGTGTTTTTTTTCCTTCGATTTTCCCATTACCCTAACTCGCAAAAAGTATGTTTGATTCAATATTGGTATTCAAATCTTTACCGTGCAGAAATATGTATCTTTAATGATATCTTTATTTTGTTCGTCATTGTTTTCTGTTGTCAGTTTTGTTGTGCTGGTGCTCACAACACGATAATAAACCCGTAGTGTAAATGCAACTGACCTTGAGCTGGAGAGCAGACGAGACGAGTCCTTTCTCAAATCAAATATGATGTGAAATAAATCCACACCCTCAGAATGGGTTGAGTAAATAAATACTGAATCAGATGTTTAAAAACCCTAGAATAAATTCACATAACTTTTAACCTTGTAGTTAATGTGGTTCCAGTGAAGGTTTGTTGTTTCTTAGATTTTGGCAAAATAATCAACACACTTTTCTCAAAACCTTGAAATTAATGAAGTTTTAGTGTTCTAATCAAATGTCAAATTCTTCTTTTCTTTGCTAGAGCATTCATTGTTATTGGTAGCTAAATCTTGGAGAAAAGGATTTCAGGAAATAATGGTAATCGGTGCAGAACTGATCCATTAAAAATGCAACATTTTGTAATGCTTGTGTTCAAAACAAAGACATTGTAATCAAGTGTAAAATGTTTTTGTGTTTGTGTACAACAAAATGAAAGTTATGAAAATCAAATTTAAACAAAATTGAATTATCAATATATGAGAAACTGAATATTTTGTTTGTTCTTATAAACACTGTGTAAAATCATGCTGTGATTTTATCTTATTATCCCACTTTGTGTGTCGTACTACCACAGCCCATGCTCCCACTTACCTCTGACAAACAAAAATAATCTGAGATAACGATTAGGGCGAAATATAAGCAGGTTTTGATTCAAACATTTGCTTAATATCTAATATAATTCACCATAAAATGCTGTTTTAAAATCTCTATTGAATCGCATTAGGAAATGTAACAACATTTCCCCCCCCCAATTCATCACTATTCCAGATGCAGAACAAACAAGTAAACATGCATAAACAACCCATTTGAATGGAGATATCATGTGCTAGTGATCTGTGAGCACACCACAGAGATGTGCTAACTGAGATCACAGAGGAGATCTCTGTGCCAAGACAGTTTACTTTCCTCACCATGGGCATTTAATTGGCTGCTGATTAATCTTTAACTTTTCTTCTCCCCACACTTACCGTGCTTAATCATCAAGCAGTTAACACCTGCTGGGGCTGATATTGGTGTTAATTTTCATTATTTGCATTTTTAGGCCTGTCTTTGGGGCATATGTGGGATTTCTTTTTTTTTCCCTTTCACCTGGGAAAAAGTTGGCATTAATCCAACCACTTTCTAAAACTAAACCTTGCATGTACAGTACATAAAAAGAATATGATTAAATCTAAACTTCCATATCACTGCCCGCTTAAGTCGTATGTGTCAAAGCCCACAATACTGGAATGCCAAGCAGAAGGTAGCAGTAGGGTAGTCCTAGTGGATGAAGAATGTCGGCCTTCTTGTAACTGTGACTCTCCCAGTTTGATGGAGTCATTTTCATTTTTACACCTCTGCCTGTGTGGTATGGTCAGCTCAGTGTACATTTAAACTAGGATCACCCGCCTCACACAGTAACATCTAGTATATCTGGTCTCCTGTAAATCTGATGCAAGTGTTCAGAAGGCAAGAACTTCAGCCCCCTCAGATGTGCCTCAGATGTGCCAAATGCTATAGCCGAGCTCAGCCTCTCGCTTCCTGCAGGCCTAGGGAGGACATGACACAGGCGTCTAGTGGAAAAAAGGCAATCTCCTTTCTTTTTAATGTAAAAAGCTCCGGCTTTGTTGTGCTTTCTGTGGATATCAAGGCCTTTCCACTCCCTCACTACTCAATCCTCCCCCCACCAACCCCACCCCCTACTGGCCTCCCACGGGTGTCTCCCCCCTTAACCTGCTCTCTCATCCTCCCATTCACCCGTGGTTTGAAGTCTTCCTACCACCGGTGTGCCAGCTTGAGACCTCATTCCTGCTCCTTTCCAGACAGGGCCCGAGTCGACCTTAGTAACCCAGCCATTTCATCCAGGAAGACAACTTATCAAACAAGCATCCCAAAGGTGTATATATGAGCTGTAGCTTTGTTGGCTCGGCTGACAGCTTCATTGCGATAATAGAGGGGACAGTGGGGGTCTTAAAGGTGCTGGGTTGCGGCAAATGGGCATTGCGGCAGCTGAAGGGGATGCCAGCCTGACCAAAAAAAAAAAAAAAAAAAAAAGAGTAAGTCAGGGTGTGAAATTTTTAGAAAAAAAGAACAATGAAAATCTTTTTTGATGGAGTCGGCTTGTTCAAGTCAGGGGAAGCAGGGTGGCATGGCTCTTAGCAGCGGCTTTGATCAGGCAAAGAAGAGGCCTAACGTAAGCTTAATTTAATGAAATCTATCGGGTAAACAGAGCCACCATCTTCAAAGGGCCACGTTTGGTCCGTCCCAGTAGGGAAGGTGGGGGTCTGCAGACGTCTGCTGTGTATTACACAAAACGCAATCCATTTTTGGAGGATGCGACTCAAATTATGTACCGTGCTAATTGTAAATGTGTGATGCCTCCGACGTGAGCATGATGAGATGTCATAAGCTGTCATAAAGCAGCATCGGCTCGGAGATTGCGTGGTGATTTTTGTCAGTCCTGGAAAACTCATGGTGGTGTCTTCTGTGTTGTCAGTGCATATTTTTTTATATCAAAGCCCTCCCTTTCTTGCCCTTTTCAAAGCTGTTCCGTGTTGTATTGTTAGGTCTTTGCCTGAATATGTTAAGTAAATAGGAAATATTTTTAGTCGGAGGCAGATTTCAGTGAACCTACAGTTAATGATGTGTAAACATCATGATATCATTGGTAGAACAGAATTGAAACAGGAGGAATTGTTGGTCACAAACATAAAACTTCCATCTCTAAACTTACTGTTTGTAGTCCACATTAGTTTCAAGCACTTAGTTCAGAGAATTCTGTCTTGCATACTTCTTAAAGTTAATCATTAAGTCTGCATCATATTCTTCTATACCTATGTTCAAATCTGTAGTGTTGTGTAGTGCCTCTTCATTGTGTCACAGATAATATAGAGCATGTTTAGATAGACTTTGAGCCATCAGTGTGCTGTGGTTGTTGATCTCCTCTGGCAGCAGATGGCGGTATTGCTCTAAGAATTTTCTCCCACTTAAGGTGTATGACAAGGACAATATTGGGCACATTTACCAATTACTTCGCCTTTCTGATGTATGAGTGGACTTACTATGATAAATCCTTCCACTTATTATTAAGCCTGACCTCATCCTTTATGCTTTGTAATAGAGATTAAAAATAATGTTAGCAAAATGTCCTTGTGGTAAAAGCCCATTTAATACAAAGTATCTTTTAGTAGCCTGGCTTCCAACTTTATGTATTTTCTGTAGTTTGTCTCTGCCCAGTGGTTCTCTTAAAGTTAATTAAGGTAGCCAAACAAAAAAATGAATGAATTAGTGCCTCCTAAGGAAAGTCGGATGTCCTTTTGGAATGATATTGTAAACATTTCATTCAGCAACCCTCACATCTCCTTTCCCAATTAATCTCTCTGACATTAGGTACTGCTGTGAATATTTCCCCTCCTTAAGTTGTGTTTTAAGGAGGTGAGTTTAATTTTTATTTATATATATATATTCTGTCTTTTCAATAACAAAAATACTTCTGATACAAATGTGAGAGGCTTTGTGTTCAAGGTTCCTTGACTCTGATAAAGGTTAATTGATATCAAGCTTTGACAAGTTTTATTGTCGAAGGCTTCTCATTTTTCTGACATTAAGTGTGAATTGGTGCCAGTAATGGTCAAGGCAGTTTTGTTGATGGCATGAGAGTCACTGGGTAATTCTTTGGTAGCAGGATTAGTTTTGTTAGATTAACACCAATTCAGAATAAAAAGCTGTTTTTGTCTCAATATGCTGTATACTATTCCATCAAGGACCAAAAAGATGTCATTTACTACCATGCATCAGTGTTCTTTTTGAAAAAGTATCACTACCCAGTCTTTATATGAGATTGTTAAATATGCTGTCACAGTACATATAAGTAATTACCAGAAGTGAAAAACGTGATACGGTCAAATGTTGATTCACCTGAAGTATAGTACTTAACTTCAAAAGAGGCCTTTTCAGGAAAGTTTCAAATTATGATGGAAGGATTTTCTTCTGTCAGTCCTAGTTTCATTTATTCCATTATGGATATTATGATAGTTGATCTTGCATGTTTTTTTCTGATATTGAATCACAAGGCCAACTGTCACAGGGATACAACTAATACTTCCTAATTTCTAACTGTCTAATGGGTATTGTTTGGAATTATAGTCACG